AGCGAGACTCCTTTATATGTTAAAAAAAAAAAAAAGTAATAAAGTGTGACTCAAAAAATTAAAAAAAAAAAGATCCTACAGTTGTTTCTTTTTCCTGATTAGAAATCTGAAAATATCAGAACACATTGTTGAGTAACAAGGTCACTCAAAGGATTAGTGTGATTTGAAATGAGCCATGGTGAAGATTCTTTTGATTCAAGAAGAATCAAAACTATGAAAGTTCATAAAATGGCTGACTGGTAAAATTTCTATATGCTTGTACAGAGGCAAGGTCAACCATCATGCCTTTAGAGAGAGCTTTTGCCGTTGCACTTCTTGGGAATAGTTACAGAGGGGTTCTCAGAGATTTTAGGGTGTTTGCCAGCATTTTCTGAAGGGCTGCTGATGTGGTTTATGTATTTATTTATTGTACTACTGACACCGATCTCGAATGTGTAGCTTACTGATTGCCAGTTAATTACATGTCCTTAATAAATCAATAAAGCACTTTGATCCCAATTTGGTTTAACACCATGAAACAAACATCATCTCCTTGTGAAACCTCATCACTTCTTGCCATTTAGGAATGTGACATGAACTCCCTAATATTTTATAACATGCTACATTTTAACATCTATTGTAGATCTTTGTTCAATAGGTACAAAGCCATTATAATCAACAGAGTTATGTTCAGTTTATACCAATATAATTAAGAATCCCATGCCGTATGCCTGTGGCTTCTAAACTTTCTAAACTTAATGTTACTTTCCATATTTTGCAAAGGGGCTCATCTTGCATAACTTCTATAATGAGAGTAAACAAGTTAAATCCACAGGTATGACAATACAGAGGTTTCATTTGCACTTTTGTCATTCACATCTGCTTAAATCTTTCTCCAATTTCTTTTCCTTTTTTAATTTTATGATGTTTGTCTAATTTTAGAAACAGAAAATGAACTATTTGTGTTTGATCTTTTCAGAAAATTTTTAGTTCATTTCCGTGAACTCTCCACATAGCCCCTTGATCTTTTTCAGTCACTTGAAGAGCAGGCGGAAAGAAAAACCCCTAATTTTAGAGGTGCATTTTAGAAACTGCACACAGATATGTATGCTCTTTTGACATGCTTTTCTTATACAATTAAAACAATGCTACATACAAGTTCTTATTAAAAAATACTGTCACATAAAAGCCCCCACACACACACATATACATTCAGAGGAAGGATTTTAGTTCACAAATGTTATAGGAAAATAATTTTAAAGAAGACACAAAACTTTTGTGAATTAAATCCTACATATTCTCCAGACTTCTGTAGCAAAATTACTGCCTCACTTCTCACTTAACAAACTTTATAAAATATCATTGAGGAGACATCCCCAGGTCACCCCATTGAGTCACAGAAGAATATTTTAATGCTTTTCATATTAAAATATTTGAATTATTCTTGGAGTTAAGCCTAGGAGTCTATTATGAAATAATTACACCGGGAAAGCAAGAGGGATTGGTTCCAAATATTTAAGATCCTTTAAAAAAATACTCCTTACAAATAAAGCTTTCAATCCTGTAGTTTCTTGTCCATCAAGGGATGTGGTTGATATTCTATATGTTGTGAGTCTGTATAGTTCCTGAAGCACGGAAAATGTGGCCATCATAAAAGGTGACTGAAAGCAGTTTGGAAAAATAATTGGCTTAAGCAAGTTAGACTGAAAGAATCCTCAGGGAGAGGAATGTCTCTTATGGCTTATGTAGATCTGAGATGCTCCATTTGTTAAGTGTCTCATAAGAATTGGACAGAAAGGTCTCTCTGTATGTTTGCATTTCCTGTTGGATCACACAGATACAAGCAAAAAACAGAAACATGACTTTCAGCTTTGAAAGCCATGTGTTTATTGTATTATAGACACATGTACATTAATGTGGTTTCCACATAAAACCAGCTGGAGCACCATGAGTCATGTTCAGCTGGTACCAACACGTGGTATGATCTCTTGGTATGTCAGTTTCAACATACACCTACCTCTCCTACCTGCCTCTCCATGCACATGTAGCCCTATCCTTTGACTTAAAATAAGTTAAAACATAGATGAATTAATTAATTACTAAGTAAATACAGTTAAGAATTCTGCTGGTGTGGGGTGTATTTTTTTAAGCCCTGTGAGAGCATAGTGAGAGCAATCCTTGCAGCTTACGTTAAGTCTAAGGTAAGGTCCACATTAAGTAAATTGCAAACAGAGAGTTCTCCAACATGTAAGAAATATTCCATTCTACACTAGTACAGTAGAATTAATGAGATAAGGAGAATACAGTTTTCCTGCACCTAAACTAAACCCAAATATATTGAATAACCTCATAACAGACAGTCATCAACAATCCACACCTGCCACTTGCAATACAATCAGAATTTCAGGCTACAGCTCTGCCTGAGAAATCAAAGAAAAATCTAATACCTGACTTCCCTCAGAAATATCATACCAATACTAACCAAAGGGAATCTGAAATATTCTGTTAAATTTGATCTGATGATTAACGAAAAATATTTGCATATGGCAATTGGCCCTGATGTACCCACCATCTTAAGGTAGACTAAGTTTGTCCAAACATCCCATTTTAGCTCTGTGCCAATAAACCTATTCTGCGATAGTCTGAAAGAACTTATATGGGAAAAATAGAATCACCAGCAAAAAGAAAAATGTTGGGAAAAAAAAAGTGAACCATTTAACAAATTATGTAATTGTAAAATCCTTTTGCAGGTAAAACTTTAAATTCAGTCTTATTTTAGACTCTTTTCACGTAATTATGCTATTAAATACATTCTTTACACTTGAAGTAGTAGAGTCTTCACTACTGCTACACCGTACTGCGGTTTTAGAAAATAAAGTCTTAGCTTGATCATGTTTCAAGTTCAGAAAACTTAGAGTGCTGTTATACCTCAAATGTTCAACTATTTTTACCTTCTTCTCTGCTGTCTCACTGGTGTCAGAGATACTATTTCATAGGTCCCAGCCACCTGACACTGCAGAGACCCTGGCATTTTAATGAGGTATCTAAACTATTGTGATTGGTCAAGCTGCACTTTTCCTGTTGAAGTTAGAAATTTTTTATTTGTGGGTACCTTTAAAACACTTCAGTATAAACAGATGACCTCTGTTTGTCAGTGTTTTGAAACTTTTTTCTGAGATGTTTCTATGAAAAAGATAAATAACTTTGCTCACCAGACTGTGGGAATACCTACTTTCAGAAAAAGCAAAACTAAAACACCTGAAGGGCTGACACTCATTTCAGAAACCTATTCAGGTATTCTGGCATTTCAAACATGTTTCCTTCAGCTGAATTATTTTGCAACTCAAGCAACCCCAAGCAAGCTGTTTTATAAGGTTGCAAAATTACTGTTGTTACTGAGTTTTGCTGTTATTGAGAATACTGTTGTTATTGAGAATTGCTGTTGTTACTTTGAGAGATATTTGAGATCTAAAATACATAATGATCATAATTTATTTTGAACACTGCTGTTACATGAGTCCTAAGCAGTCCCTAGTTGAACTTGACCTTGCATTAACTTTGCACCTTGGATCTTCAATATAATAATTTGTATGCTTGACATTATAAATAAAAAAAAGACACTATCTAGAGTTATAAGTGTATTATGGAAATATTTCCAAGATCATGTAGGTAGTTAGGGTCTGGTGGCCAGAAGATATCGCGCTGTACAGAAAGATAGGGCCCCTCTCCTGATAGCCAATAGAGTTTAGTTTGTGATGCAAGCAGACGGAAGGGACATCATAAACCCAGGGTATATAATGCTGTGTTACATACCAATAAACGCCATTTGCTGTCCACCACATTGGTGTCTGCGAGCTGATGGCCCGAGCAGCCTGGGGTTGGTCGCCGTGCTGTTCCTGAACCAGGTCGTCATGCCTTACAAAGGCAACAAGTGGTGCCGAAACCCGGGAAAAACTCGCCTGGAATCGGACCAGCCCGGCGGGGAGGAGGCTCCCGGACCAACAAGGAGGATGGAAGCCCTTGTGAAGGTCGTATCACAATTACATAAGCAGTGGGGTATCAATTGTAAACCCAAAGATATTACTCTCGCAGTTGTGAGGCTTTTGCAAATTGGGGTGATTGACCAGCCGGTGGATATTCTCCACCCTGAAGTGTGGGATAAATGCACTAAAGCACTAGCCGAGGAGACAATGTCCTTGGGTTGTGGGAAAAACCTTAAGTCATGGGGAAAAGTCGTACAGGCCCTGCAGAAGGCAATACAAGAACAGGAGACCTGGAGAGCGGCAAAGAACTGTTTGTTGGCCACCCCGAAATTGGGAGTCAGGGCTGCCACACAGACTTTGCACCCCCCAGATGTTGATGATTCTGCTGAGCCTAAAGATCTGAAAGAGGGTGACATGTCCCCTCAACTCCCGAATCCTGACCCGCTTACGGAGGGACAGGAACGAGCTAAATCCTTCTGGGGTGGGTTAGCTGAGGAGGCCAGGGGCATCACGGAGAAACTAGAGTCTGAAGAAGCCTGGGCTAGGCCACCGCCATATGTGCCCCAAGATGGCGCCGAGCAGAAAGGGGAAGGGCAGGCCGAAGATACTCATGGCAGGAACAGGGAAGAAGCGCTAACATTAACAAGCACACACGAACGGGAAGAAGAAAAGTGGTGGGGGCGGCCGGGAAGAGGAGGGGAGCATGAGCGAAAGGCGGAAAGCCATTCACAGCGGCCATCTGAAAAAATGCCCTTGTAGGGCAAATACCCCGCCGCGCAGAGGGCGGGGCGAACTAGAAAGGAGGGACGAATTAAGAGGGAGGGAATGGCCCGCCTGCAGGAGAAGCGGGCTGGGCTGGAGCCCGACAAAAAGGTACCAAAACCGGAAGTAACCAGTCAGTCAAGTTCCAACTCCGGATCAGACACCAGCTGGGATGAGTGGCTCGTAACTGATCCAAGCTCAGAGGAGGAGGAAAGGGGAGTAGATACAGTCAAAAGCCAAAACATTCCCATCCAAAATAAAAAGAAACCACGAAGAAAAAATATCCCCCTCACCGACTGGAGGAAAATAAAGACTGCGTGCGCCGACTGGGTCCCGTCAGCCACGCTAGTGTTCCTGGTCCGAGTGATGGACGGGGGGCAGAGGGTCCACTCGCCAATAAACCCTAAAGATATACAAGTGATCGTTAAGTCCATTGCAGATAAAGGGCTTAATTCTGCCATGGTTTCCACCCTCATAGGTGGTGTCTTTGGGGGAGACAATATGCTCCTGTTTGACATAAAACAAACTTGTAGATTGATCTTTGATGGGGCAGGGATGATTGTTTTTAAACAAGAATGGGAGGACAACTGTGCAAGACAATTAGCCCAAATGACCGGGGCCGATCACCCGCTACATGGCTCCAGCCTGCAGTGGCTGATGGGTACAGATCCAACAATGATTACCCCCCAGGCACAGGCCCAGGGCCTGCGGGCCCATGAAGTTATGACAACTACTCGCGCGGCTAGAGAAGCTATTTGCACTGCCTCTAGAGTTATTGTCAAGCCATCACCATGGTCCACGATTAAACAAAATGAGAGTGAGAGCTTTACGCAGTTTGTGGATCGCCTTCAGGCAGTGGTTGACTCTTCAACCCTGCCCGCAGAAGCGAAAGGCCCTGTTGTTGCAGATTGCTTACGTCAGCAGTGTAATTCGGCCACCAAAGAGATCCTACAATCACTGCCAGTGGGGTCAAGTATCACAGACATGATCAAGCATGTCGCGAAGGAAGAGCATCTAGCCCCAATTCAGGTAGCTGTTCCCACTGCAATAGCTAATGTGATGGCATGTTTTAAATGTGGTCAGGTGGGCCACGTGGTGGCAAACTGCCTTCGGTTGGGGGACCTATCCACAGTGCTCCCCCCGCGCCAAAATCGACAAAGAGGACCGTGTTGGGCCTGTGGAAAGAAAGGACATTTCGCCAAAGAATGCAGATCTAAAAACCAGGGAAACGGAAAGGGGAGAGGGCACCCGTGCTGCACACAGCTCTCTCCCACTTTGGACATGAGGCAGCCCAGTTATGCCAACCCCGGATGGGGCGAAGCACTCCCGAACCCGCTGCCCCCTCAAGAAACGACCAATTTCACGGTCCAACCGACAATCCATTCAAACCAGTCCCTACCTCAAAGACAACAACAACCGTCTCTTGGGGGCGAGACCCCAGGGTGGCCCTGGCAGTAAAATGCGATAGCCCGCCAGTGGTGTGGGGAATCTGTTCCCTTTATAATACCCTAGATGACACCACCATTAGTGTCCATTTTTGATTGATACCGGAGCAGATGTTACAGTCATTCCTGAGACAAACTGGCCCCCACATTGGAAATTGGAAGACGCCCCCATGGTGGGTGGAGTCGGGGGATTAACCGTGGCTCGAAAAAGTGTTCAATTAGTAGCAGTCACACTTCACACTGAAAAAGGGCCGGGAAAAAACATTACCCTCTTCCCATATGTCATGTCAGGGATCCCACCCCTGTTAGGAAGGGACACTCTAGCCCTTTTGAAAGCCAGGGTGACAAATTTATCATGAGGGCCACTGCCGCATACCCACTTCCACCTATTAAATTGGCTTGGAAATCCAGTGTGGGTCGAGCAGTGGCCCCTGTCGAAGCCTCGAATGGACGCTCTTCTTGAGCTAGTTGACCGCGAATTACAACAAGGTCATATACAGCCGTCCACTAGCCCATGGAACTCCCCAGTTTTTGTAATACCCAAACGAACCAGCGAAGGGTTTCGTCTCCTCCATGACCTGCATGAAGTAAATAAGAAAATTCAACCAATGGGTCCCGTCCAAACACTGTTGCCCATGAACTCTATGATACCAGAAGGACAACTGTGTGCCGTCCTTGATATTAAAGACTGTTTCTTTTCAATACCACTGCATTAGGAGGACAAAGAGCGGTTTGCTTTTTCTGTAGTTTTTCCAAACAGCTCACGCCCCAACCTACATTTCCAGTGGAAAGTGCTGCCTCAAGGAATGATTAACTTGCCTACTATTTGCCAAATTATTGTGGATCGGGCGTTAGCACCGGTTTGACGTGATGATCCGACTGCGACTATCATTCAGTACATGGATGATATTCTAATCGCCGCGCCGTCAGAAAATCAGGTGAACCAGCTAGCATCAGCAGTTTCAGAAACTTTAAAAATAAACGGGTTCGAAATCGCAGACGCTGAAGTTAAAAGAGGACCATGCGTACCTTTTCTGGGGATGGGGATCACAAGTGCTTACGTAACCCCCCCCCCAAATAAAAATCCGTCGGAACATCGAAACACTCCGTGACATGCAGCAATTAGTGGGATCCTTGCAATGGCTCTGTAACGTTGTCCTGATCCCTCCCGAAATCATGGCCCCCCTCATACGACCTTCTCAAAGGAAAAAAGCCCTGTGAAAAAAAAAAAACGACGGCGGAAGCAATGAACTCTCTTGACTTTATTGAGCAACAGGCATCGTCGAGCACACTCGCCAGGTGGAACCCAGGTGTCCCGCTTGATCTGTATGTACATTTTACAGAAGGAGGGGGAGTAGGGGCACTAGCCCAGGGGCCCCCTGAAAAAGCTCAACCAATACAATGGATAGTCCTGGGAAAACCATCACGCGCATTCTCTCCAGGAGTCAAGTGCCTTGGCGATCTCATCATGAAAGGCAGAAAACTCGCCCTAAGACACCTAGGCATCAAACCCTCCAGAATATACCTACCCTTCTGCAAGCAACTCCCAAAACAATCAGTGGTGACTTCAGAGTATCTAGCTATAGCTCTTGTTGGGTTTTGTGGAGAAGTCCAGTATGCTACAAAGCCCCCCTGGACTCAAATGCTGGCCATTGTCGACATCGACCTCCCACAGAAGATCATGGACCGGCCCCAACAGGGACCAACAGTCTTTACAGATGCATCCTCAACAACCTCAACCGCGGCGGCGGTATGGCAATCTAGAGAAAAATGGCACTGCATTAAAATGACTGACTGTACGCTTTCAGTCCAGCAGCTGGAAGCGCTGGCCTTAGTACTAGCGTGTGGACTGTTCCCAGAGGAACATCTCAACATAGTGACCGACTCGATGTTCGTAGCCAAGCTTTGCTTGGCCATGGCGGGGCCCGGCGTGTCAACATCCACAACAGCCTTAATGCTGGAAGAAGCACTTTTTTCTTGAAAAGGCACCATATCGGTCATCCATGTTAACAGCCACAACCCAATCAAAGGGCTTTTCCAAACCGGTAATGACAAAGCAGACGCCGCAGCGAGAGGGCTGTGGACGCTAAGGGATGCCCGTCAGTTACACGAGTCTCTCCACATCGGAGCTAAAGCACTAGCGAAGAAATGCGGGGTCTCGGTCACTGATGCAAAACACATAGTAGCCATGTGTCCCCACTGTCAGAAAACACCACTGTGGTCCAGTGGAGTCAACCCCAGAGGTCTTAAAGCGTCCAAAGTGTGGCAAACAGATTTTACCCTCTGTCAGTTGCTAAAACCCTGAGCATGGCTAGCGGTAACTGTAGACACATATAGCGGAGTGATTGTAGCCACACAACACCTCAGAATCAACTCCAAAGCAACCATCCAACATTGGTTAACGGTTATGGCGTGGCTTGGCATTCCTAATACAACGGTCTGAATTTTGTCTCTAAATCAGTTCGGGCATTTGCACAGAAATGGGGTATTCCCCTAATACACGGTATTCCGTATAATAGCACAGGACAAGCCATAGTCGAACGAGCAAATCAAACTTTAAAATCTAAAATAGAGGTGCTGGCAAAAACAGAAGGTTTCACCAGCACCATTCCCCCGGGAGACCAAGCACGCTTACTAGCAACCGCTTTATTAACACTAAACCAATTTCCCAGGGGGGAAGAGGTAAACAGCCCCACCCAAAAACATTGGGCCACTCGAGCGCTAGAAGAAGGCCCGTTGGTCATAATCATAAATGAGCTAGGGGAATGGGAACAAGGATGGAGGCTAGTCCTTACAGGGCGAGGGTATGCCGTGGTCAAAAAAGATGGAAAAGTTAGGTGGTGTCCGCTTAAGTCCATCAAACCAGACCTCCAGAAATAGAACTAACAAAAACTGTGAGTTTTTATCCACAGAATCAGATTATTGGATGTCCTCGTAACCTATACACCCCGGTAATAAGAGAAGATGACAAGTCAATAAGCATCCTGCCCACACCTGGAAGTTCCACACCGACAGAATCCGAACAACGGCCACATAACCCCCATAGACAGAGGCTGCGGTGTCTTTCTGTGATCTTCATTTTACAGTTCGTCGCTATAGGACAAGCGGTATCAGAACACCATCCCCATCAGCCTTTTAAGTGGACCTTGTATAGGTGGGAAGACCAACAAGTAGTCCAAAGTCTAGTCACAACAGGAGGGCCCACTTTTACTGCTAGCCTCTGTCAACTAGTACCTATAAGCCCATGTTTAGATCTTGTGGGATTTTACTTCTGCCCAAGTTCGAATCCAGGAAGAGGATATTGTAATCACTCTGGGGAATATTATTGTGCCTACTGGGGATGTGAAACAATAGCCTCAGATTGGGTCCCTGGAAATCCAGACAAGTTTTTAAGGGTACAATGGGGGCCTTATGGATGTACCCCTCCGAAACCAAATTGGCAAGGAGAAATGATATTGGCTCCCCATGGGAGAATCAAACTGGGAAACTGTCGGCATCTTATGATTAATATAATGAACCCTTTCGACCATGGGTGGATAACGGGGAAAACTTGGGGGTACAATATAAGGAACCAGGAACTGATAGAGGGGGACTCATTTTAATAAAGAAGGAACCAATCCCACAAGATCCTAAACCCGTAGGACCTAATCCGGTTCTTCACCCAGAAGTACCGGTCCCACCGATGCCTAACCCAACGACACCTACACCATTATCACATAGTATTGTAAATAGTACCGAAGTTATTGCACACACCACCAAAATTTCCAATCAAAATTCTCTTTGGAAAATGATGCAAGCTAGCTATCAACTACTGAACAAAACTAACCCAAATCTTACAGAGCATTGTTGGTTGTGCTATGGAATAAAACCACCCTTTTATGAGGCTATAGGAGTAAGTGACACACCTATATGAGCAAATGGTACAAATCCAGTCCAATGTGTTTGGGACACAGAAAAGCAAGGGATTACATTTGCACATGTGGTGGGAAGCGGCGTGTGCATAGGTAAAATCCCAAAACATAAAAAACAACTGTGTACTAATGTAATACAAGCTAAAACCCCTGCACAGTGGCTAATACCGGCCGACAATGCCAAGTGGGTTTGTTCTATTATGGGAGTTACACCTTGTTTGTCGTTAGACAAATTTGATGAATCCTCAGAATATTGTGTCCAAGTAACTATAGTCCCTAAAATCTTTTACCATTACGAAAACTTTGTCTATGATTCACAAATTACCCCAGAACACCATCTGTCAAAATGGGAACCCTTTACAGCACTAACAATAGCTACTCTAATGATCATAGGAGGTGCAGGAGTAGGTACAGGAGTAGCATCCTTAGTGCAACAAAATAAAGAATTTAGTGCCCTGAGAATGGCAGTGGACGAGGACCTAGCTAGAATTGAACAATCAATTAGTGCATTAGAAAGTTCACTTAGATCATTATCTGAAGTAGTGCTACAAAATCGAAGAGGGTTAGACCCAGTGTTCTTGCAACAAGGAGGAGTATGCACCGCACTGAGGGAAGAATGTTGTCTATATGCTGACCACACTGGAATAATGAGGGACACTATGGCCAAATTACGAGAATGAATAGAAAAACGAAAAAGGGAACGAGAGGTGCAACAAAATTGGTTTGCATCATGGTTTGACCATTCACCATGGCTTGCCACCCTAATATCTACCCTGATAGGGCCAATTATAACAATCGTAATAGTATTGATCTTTGGACCCTGTATATTGAATAAGCTCGTGTCGTTTGTCAAAAGCCATCTAGGAAAAGTTAACATCATGTTGATAGAACGCCAACAATTGCTTTAAGAATGTTCTTGCTTAGAATTTTTACCTATCTCCAGTTATATCCTGTTATTCTCTGTTACACCCTAGTTATCTCTTGCTTAACGTGCCTTATATTTTTTATTCAAGTGTATGGTGTATGTTTTAAGAAATGTTATAAAGCATAGATTAAGATACATTTAGCATGTTATCCAAGCTTACAATATATGTATTTTAAACATTGTTATATTTAGCCAATTTAATTATGCATAGGGAGAGGGGAAATGTAGGTAGTTAGGGTCTGGCGGCCAGAAGATATCGCGTTGTACGGAAAGATAGGGCCTCTCTCCTGATAGCCAATAGCGTTTAGTTTGTGATGTAAGCAGACGGAAGTGACGTCATAAACCCAGGGTATATAATGCTGTGTTACACACCAATAAACGCCATTTGCCATCCACCACATTGGTGTCTGCGAGCTGATGGCCCAAGCGGCCTGGGGTTGGTCGCCGTGCCGTTCCTGAACCAGGTTGTCATGCCTTACGAAGGCAACAATTTTTTTTTAATCTTAGAATGAATCATAAAAATAAAAATGATCATAAAAATCAGCAGTAGCATGGAGAACATTAAGAAGGAGTACAGAGCCCTGGTGGAGGTGGTTAGGGGCTCTGGAGCTCAGAAAGTCTTTTCATCAATTCTCCAGGATAAAGGGGAGGACCTTAAAAAGGCTAGGAGGATTGGCCAAGTTAATAAATGGTTAGAACAGTGATGCCATAGTCATGGGTTTGGGTATTTAGAACATGGGACTGAATTTGGGAGGCCAGGTCAACTGGAGGCTGGTGGAGCTCGTCTGAGCGGTTTTGGTAGGAGGCTTGCCAGGCTACTCAAGAAAGATTTAAATTAGATGTGTGTGGTGGGGGGTGGTGGCATCATTCCATCCCAACACACCCAGTCAGTTGCCAGCACCTATAATAAATGCTCAGAGTGATGCAGAGATATTCCAGCTGCTCCAGCCAATGAGCCGGCTTCATTTGGTGCTCGGCTCAGATACCTCTATACAAACACCCGTAGTATAGGGAACAAACAGGAGGAATTAGAGATGTGTGCATGTCTATGGGGATATGATAGAATAGGTATCAGAGAAACATGGTGGGATGGCTCCTATGACTGGAGTGTTGAAATGGAAGGTTACAGGCTCTTTAGGAAAGACAGGCCCTCCAGATGGGGAGGGGGAGTTACTATGAGGATGCTGAGGTGGGACTCTTCAATAGGGACTGTAGTGATAGTACAAGGGGTAACGAGTTAAAACTTAAACAGGGGAAGTTTAGACTGGATATGAGGAAGAAGTTCTTTACTGTAAGGGTGGTGAGGCACTGGAATGAGTTACTCAGGGAGGTTGTGAATGCCCCATTCCTGGTGGTTTTCAAGGCCAGGTTGGACAGAGCCTTGGGTGACATGTTTTAGTGTGAGGTGTCCCTGCCCATGGCAGGGGTGTTGCAACTAGATTATCTTAAGGTCCTTTCCAAACCTAACTGTTCTATGGTTCTATGATTCTAAAATGGTTTGGATTGGAAGTTAAGAACCTGTAAGGATTATCATAACAGCTTTCCAATTTCTGATGGGGGTTACAATGATGCTGGAGAGGGACTCTTCATCACGGACTGTAGCAATAGGACAAGGCAAAATGGATTAAAACTTAAATAGGGGAATTTGAGGTCAGAAATAAGGAAGAAGTTCTTTACTGTGAGGGTGGTGAGGCACTGGAACGGGTTGCCCAAAAAGTAGTAAGTGCTCAATGCCAGGCTGGACAGAGCCTAGGGCTACATGGTCTAGTGTAAGACATTCCCACCAGTAGCAAGGGGGTTGGAACTAGATAATCTTGAGGTCCTTTCCAACCCAAACCATTCTATGATTCTATGATTCTATCTAGTTCAAACAGCCAGACGTGCCCCTTTGGACATCTAGCCACTCATTGCAATGGCTTTTTTGGATGCAGCCTTCCAGCCAATTTCATTATGTATTTAACAGTTCATTCATCAAACCTGTACATCTCCATTCAGGGGTAAGAATCTTCTTTATAAAGTCCTGTAAAAAAGGAGCATTCCTATGTGGGGAGTGGTAGTGAGAGTCCTAAGAAGGAACTCTGTAATGTTGGGCACCCTGTATCTCTGTGGAGAATAGATTTTTTGCTGAGGAGGCACAGATTTTAACCCCTCAGGAATTAAACAAAGTAGGAAGTATAAGGCAGTTGAAAAGGGATGAAAACTATAATATGGAAATATGGTATTTTTGATGTTGTGAAACTAGATGGTATTGTGGTACTTTTTTTCAGTATTCATGAAACGAAATAAAGTGGCATAATCCATGCCTCTTCAAAGTCCATAGAGAAGTCTTAGCTGGGTATAGAGGGAAAATATCAAAATTCAGTGGAGAGCTTTTTCACAAATCTCCAGACATATTTCTGTCTGAAATCAACAGCAATTTTGTTAGTACTACATCAATTTCCCAGCAAGCAAAGACATGACCATGTGGCTTGTGGCTTCTGAAACATCTGTGTACAAATGTGGTAATGAATGGTTGAAGGAGATTTAGCAACATAATTAATATTGAAATAGGAGATCATTGTAGAATTGGAGGTATTGTGACCTTAGGTCCCATATATTTTGAGATACATAAACCAGAAACTTCAGTGCTCTTTCACCATTTACCAAAAAAAAGAAAAAAAAAAAAAGGTGCTTCATTTGCTCAGCTGTTTATTAATATTGTTAGGAAAAAAAAAAAGCTCAACACAATCATTTATATAGCCCATTTGATTACTCAAATTTCTGTCAATTCTCACTAGCTAAAACTATTTAATGCTGAAAAATTAAAACAAGGATGGCAAAAATACTGGATATATAGCTGTGGTGTTCTTTGGCTGCCTAAACACACTGCAATGGTACTAATGTGAGGTTCATGTCAGAAGATCTGACATTTTCTGAAGTTAAGTGCAATGAACCATTCTAAGTTTTTCTTATTATTCTGTTTGGAAAGAAGCAATGAAGCACTTTGCTCTTGCTTTGATGAAAACTCTGGGGGCATATAAAGCAACCAGCAGATTCTTGC